TGTTACCAGGTATTGTGGTGCTGGAGTTTCCTTCTAGAGGTGGTTTCTAGGTTCTTTCTGTCCTGAGCAAAGAATTGGGCAACACAAGTACAAACAGTAACAAGTTTTTTGGAACCGGGGATTGAACTCGGGTCATTGCGCTCGCACATCAGGCGGTAAATCCCCGGCCCCTGTAACAAGGTTTTTACGTTTATCAAAGGTAGGAAAAGAAATAGGCTCTGCAGAGCTAGTTTGGGCCAAGAAAAAGTAGGGGAAAAAAGTACTCTGTGCAGCATGGGAGTGGAGTACTGTGAAAGAAGCCGGTAGCAAAAGGTTCAAAGGCGACTTTCTTTTTGTCTCTCACTCCTCAGGCTGGCGTCAGGTTGAGGCCAGCCTATGGAAAACCTGTGGGAGTTCGCATAAGAAGTCCATGTGCAGGGCTTTGGGAACTGTTCTGTCCATGCATCCTGGGATTTTGTAATTAGCGAGTCATGCCTACTTTCCCAGGCTGCTTTGCCACACCCTAATCTCCTGCCTCATTGTGGTACAATGCTTGCCTAGCACCCAGGAGGCCTTGAGTTCTGTCTCCAGTACTTCAAACCAAACCAAAAGAAAAGAAAACAAAAACAAAACATTAAAGGATCTTATAGTTAGTTAGAAGAAAATTTAAAAAGACACACTTAATACAAATCAGAGCCTAAGGGCAGGGGATTTAGCTCAGTGGTTCCAGTGCCTGCCTTGCAAGCGCAAGGGCCTGAGTTTGATCCTGGTACCAAAAAAAGAAAGTACAAATCAGAGCCTAGTGAGTGTTCCAAATGAAGACAAAATCCTATAGTTTTTTAAATGGAGAGAAAGAGTACACTTAGTTTGGAGGAGTTAGGTGACACAGGAAAACTTGGCTAATGCAAAAATCAGAATTTGAGACTTGGAAGCAAACTTAGGATAATCTAATTCAAGCTCTTCTCTTACGAATGAGGTAGCACATAGTCTAGTGCTCTGTAAATAAAGAGCTGAGATTTGATCTTGGATATGCCACCCTCGCTGGTGAGCTTTACTCTGCCTCACACAGTCACCCACTTCAATAGGTAATATGTCAGTTTTACTTGACTTATAATTTGCTTGTTTAGAAAATGAGCATGTCTTTTTCATTGAATTTCCTCATTCCTTCAATAGAAAGAAAATGAGCACAAGGTGGGTATAGAGCTGCCTAATCTGCAATTGAGTAACTCCATCGAGTTCTTGTGCCTCAGCCTCACAAAGCCAAACAAAGAAAACCTAATCCCCATCTGCTACAATCTGCAGCCACTCTGCTCCTCCCCAGGGACTTGATTCCTGGTTGGTAAAGCCAGCACTATATGTTTTCTGCACAGACTTGCCTTTCACATGTGAATTAACTCTTTTTTTCTAGAATTGGGCCAATTTTTTTTTTCCCCCACAGAACTTAAGTTGAAGTTCCCCTGTATTTGTTCTTGGCAACTTCAAGAAATAAAAATTCACTTTGCCCTCCAGACATTTTAAATAAAGAATTTGCAGTGGCTTGTTCCTAGAAAGGTACAGATTTTAAGGCTGTTTAAAATGAAAACAGCATGTGTCCTGGTTGCTCTATATTATTGCCCATAATTGGTTTCTTTATATCACAGTTCTGTGCATTAGCAAGTGGATATTTTTATTGATCTCATATAGAGAATTAATTTTTTGGAAATAAGAATTTTAATAGTGAAGATGATAACAATGACAGTGACTAATATTCACACTTACTCCTATAATATTTTTGGTAATTTGTATAGATAATTTCATGTAATTGTCTCAACCATGGTATGGATTAGGGATTATTTGTATTGTCCTCATTTTAGAGAGAAGCAACATTGCTGTAGACAAGGTGAGTAACTTGTCCAAGGTGGCAGAGTCAGTCTCTTTGCTGCAGTTTGT